TTACTCTGCAACCAACGACTGGCCACACGTTTACCAAAAGTTCATATTTTTTATAATGGGTTTCAATGGGGCCAATGGAATGCTGTTCGGTAAACGTGTGGCCAGTCGTTGGTTGCAGAGTAAAAACACAAATTGTTATATAAAATAATAACAGTATATCTAGTGATCATATTAAACACCATTACAGTGTATTGTCACCCACTGGACAGTGATGGCTACCCCGAAGAGCCAATCACTCCATGAACTTCCATTGAATTCAATGGCATTTTTGGCCCATAGGTTATGCTTATTATGCGTGAATTATAAGCACCCAAAAAATCTAATTTTTTAAATTGTGGCCACAATTATGAATATTTTTTGCTCATATTTTAATATGATATGTTATTTACAAATGTCTAAAATATAAATTAACAATTGTTTAATATCTATTATATTTTTAATTTTATACAAAATTTACTAACTATGCGTGACTTATAAGCACTACCTTACGTATGATTAAATTGAATTAAAATAGATCATAAAGTTTTGCGCACAAAATGGTATCAAACATATAGTGAATATGTTTTGAGCGAAAGTCACATTTCGGGCGAAAGTGATGTGAACTCTAGAAAAGTTAGTTTAATGACTATTTGCATGTTTTAGTTGAGCCGTTGACATATTCTGATGCCATGAGCCCAATTGGTATGATTTTTGAGCACTTGTTTACATATAAAACCCGTTTTCATGTAAACAGATGTTTGATAGAGTTTGCGCTATTGATATTCGCAATTGTGAGATTCAACTTTTCGAGATCCAGTTCAAAACTCTTTTTGAATAGAATCTCGAGTTTGAGCTCAACTTCAGTCTCCAAAAGGATTAACTCGAGTTCAAACTCAGCCTCGAGTAAGAAAATTCTTAGTATAGCACTGTATATGTTTGATACCATTTTGTGCGCAAAACTTTATGATCTATTTTAATTCAATTTAATCATACGTATGACACGTATATAGCATTGAAATAAATGTTTAAAATGCTTAAATTTATTGAATTCTATATTATAGAGCATTCAATTTGGGCTCTTTATCGCGAAAGCAATCTCAGTATTCAGTCATACACTTAAGGCATTGCATTATTTGTTGTGCAAAACTTTGTTAAGCAATTTGAGTGTGAATTTGACATTTCGTGACATTTAATTATCAAATAATTAATCAATATTTATGTCATAAAACTTTTAAAACTATGTCTTTATTTCAGTTTTATAATTATAACTCTTTTCGTTCATAATATATTGTTTTTACATTTCATATTAACACATATGCAGTAAATATAAACATTAGAGTAAAAACTAAATAAAATTTCTTCTTATTTTTTGTATTGTATTGCAATTTTCATACGACATTAAATCATTAAATAACTGTACATTTTTGACATGTATTTCACGTAATTGTGTGAAAATGTTTATACATTTAAACTTATAGTTTGTTTCAAAATTGTGTGATTTATTGTAAGCAATCTATTGCTTGACATTAACCACGAGTGTCGAGAAAAGAGTGACGATAACTATCTTTTAAAATCAGTTTACGTAGAGTTGGAGGCCTTGTCGTTAAGCCCGGGAATAGTGAGAGAAGCCATACCATTGGTGAGACGGACCGGAACTTTCTTCAACTTCTGGTACAAATACAATGAAAGCAAATTGTGTTACAATTGGCGCCAAAACTTATTATCAATTGTCATTCATTTACGTCAGGATTGGCTGTAATGGAGTCGACAATTTTTTTGAGATCATCGTTAGCTAACGGCGTTTCGGACGCTATGATTACGCTTTTCAATGGATGACCAGTAGTGAACACTTTTCCCGCATTCGCCTCACTGTTTGGCCCTAATGTGTGCAGAGAAGTGGTCGTTGCGGTCGACATTTTAGTGGCTAAATGTAAAGTTAACGTTAAAATTAGCTTTAGTTTTGCGACAGAAATATTTCATTCAATCATTACATGAGATGCTCTTTGAGGACAACATTATACGCGTGTTTGAAGTGATTGTCTGACTATTTATGTTATGTTTTGGCGGTGCGATCAGTGATGTTGAGCTCTTGCATGCGTTCAGTGATTTATTCATTGACTTAATTCTTGATATATTCGGAACGTTAATTATAGGACCCGTCACTGAATTACTTGTATGAATATCTAATAGCAAAGAGCAAAGAGACAATTGAATCAATCAATTCAACTAAAATTATTATATCAAACATACCGTCATTTGAGGAAACAATAAAAGGCTTTAAAATTGTCGGTCGAGTGGTCAGTATTGGGGGCTTCAATAGAGAGCCCTCTTGTTTGATAAGCTCTTTATCACCTGAAAAATGTTTAACACTTTTGTGATGCAAATCAGGGGGCGTTAACTTTGGATATTTACTGGAAGTGCTAATTATTAGTTTATTGGTATTATTAGTATTGGTGTTTGTGTTCACAGAATTGCTAGAAATGGGCACAAGTTTTGGTAAAATATATCTCTGATTCGATGGCTTCGAAGGGATTTTGAATGGAATGACTGGAATTTGGACCGAATTTATTACAGGAGAAGATTTGGCTGAAGTGTTGTTCTCTGAATGACTTGAGCTGACCGCTTGTGTTTTGACCAATTGATGAGCGCCTGTTTCACACAAACAATAATATTAATAAAATGACAAAATTACAACAAATACAAAGAAATGTACGTTTTTGTTGCATCTCTTTTCTTTTCGCTTCCAATGCTTCTCCGACTTTATAGCAAACACTACTCTTGTATGCAATCATCACTTCATTCACTACTTTGAAAGCTTCAGCTTTCATATCTATATTAAGAATTATAGGTTTAATTAATAAAGGTTAAAATACAAATATAAATTGTGATTAACCTTTTTGCGCCACTTTATCGCATAGTTTGAGTTTGTGGTTCCACATCGACAACAGTTTCCGGATATACGCCAACTGTTGTTCCCTTTTGACTAACTTATTGATGGTTTCAATGGCTTCTTTGATTGTCTCCAATTTGTTAAGTTTGGTAATTTTGCCGACAGAGGAACCTTTGTTTGGGTTCATAGTGTCGGTCAAAGTGCGAAACAATTGGTTCACGTGAGCCCTCTGTGAAGCGCTGGCCTGTGCTTTGGCCGATAGCGACAGAACCCGTTTGTCTCCATCCGTTTGGGACATGGAATACAATGACTTGAATGAGTTTTCCAGCGGTTGTTCACTCTTTTGCTTTAAAGCTTTCATTTGATTCTTTTGGTGGCGAAATATCTGCATTTGTTTGATTCTTTGGTGCGGAATCTTCAGCTGATAATTAGATCCAAAAGCAGTTCCGATGGCAACTGATTTCATCTTCAGTTTCATTTTCGGCTTAGTTTTCGATAACTTCTTGTGAATCAGAGATAACTCTCTTTGCGATGAGTCGTCTGAGTTAGTGGTGTTTGTATGGCTGGTGTGCGCCTGTGTTTGGAAGCGTTGATCCATTTCCAGCTGCTTTTGGTGAAGCTCTTGGAGGCGTTTCTGTTCCTCTAGTAGTCGGCGTTTACCGGTCTTCCCCTTCGAGTCGTAGTCGGGAATAACCCATTGATTTCCCATCAAAAGACTGCTTTCATGAAACCTCGAGGGCAGTCGTATCTGTCGTTTGGATCGGTTGCCCATCGCAATGATCTTAGCCAAGTCGGCCTCTCTGTCCTTCCGATACCTTCCCGTTATTTTGCTCTCTTTAATCGGAGACATGGGTTTCGCTTTGGGGGTCAAACCCACCGCCGATAACACAGAGTCGGATGTGTCGGTCGATTGGATGGGTTCCGGGAGGCGATCGTTACACTGTAAGGCACTCAACGCAAAGTGTCGGGCGTAGAGGTCGTCCATTATTAATGAGGGAACAATTGGTTTCTTCATGGATTGCATTTCATGATATGTTGTGTTGACATAAGTGTTATACAAATGCATCATATGTTCGTCGGTGTGCGGTGTGTCCGGCCATAGAGTTTCCCGAATGACCGGGTATTGAGGCAATAGTAGTTCCGAGTTTGACACGTCTTCCTCATCAAGAAAACCAATAGAATCGCTAAAATCAGTCTTTAGTTTCTGTTTGTTTTTGAGTCCTTTAGAGCGTCCGAAGCCCTCCTTCTTCTTCGTGGGTGAGGTCTGAGAGGTGGAAGGGGTCGGCGGCGGACCCATCGAGTGATGGGGAAAGTCAGGCATTTTGAGGACACT